TGGACACCATTTTGAAATCCCTGATCTCCATACGTTGGCAATTGACTGGATCAGCTCAACCCATGACCTTAATGAGAACGAGTAGTAGAGACCATTGATGATTGAATGAAAAGAATGATTTCCATGGACAACTCCCGTTGTGCATTGATTGCATTTTTCTTGACGTCCGTTTCAAATCGTCCCCGAAGACCCGCTGGCCACTAATCTACCGTAATTACTGAAGCGCCCAACTGTAACTAAGAAAGATGACTCCACTTGCCGCGCGCGTGTGTGTGTGTGTGCGCGCATTTGTGTGTGTGTCAGATGAACTCCCAACACATCATATTCCGACACTTGGTGAAGCGGCCCACACATTTGCACTTGGCAAAGAGCAAAGCAACAGCTGTCGGACTCGCAGCATGTGACTGCAAACCGGTCCCGACTGGCCAAATGAGACTCGACCAACGCTCTCGGGTTACTTGACCCGTGTCCGCCCGAGCCAAATGTTCAGTCAGCCTCCTGGTAACCACACTCCACCTTTGTTTTAGCTGCCCAAGCACCTGCAAAACCAGCTCACGTCGAAAGTGAGAATGGGTTGTTGCAAACTTGTCGCAATGTTCTATTGTGGCGGTTGGTTCTGAGTTGAACTTTAAATATAGTTTGGGTTTATGACGGTGAGGCAAGATCTGGCAAGGAGAATATTCGTAGTAAGTTGAGAGATGAGTCCACTTCAGGGGTGGCCAACACCTTCACTTGAATGTAAACGGGTTAGTGTTGTGGAGATTCAAGTGGGATAACCGGGTAGGACCGACCGTGTCTTTTCCCCTTGGATTCCTATCTCGTACTGATTGTGCCCGGCTCGCTTTTCGCCGGCTCGCATCTCTTTCAGCGTTCCTTCAATTGTTTTCGTCCGTATTCAGCGGGAGGCGATGTTTAGCCTCGGCAAAGCCCTCCATTAGGGCGAGAAAAGCTTTTTCTCTTCTCTCCCCTGAATGAGGACGGGATCAACAGGTGAAATGCAAGCACGTTTCGGCTTCCCTTTTCCAGGATAAAGGACGTACGTACGGCCGTGCTTTGCAAACTTTTTCATAAGTGCCGCCTGAGAAGAGGCGTCACTTTCTAAGTGCCACTCTTTTGACCAGCGATGAAATGCAATAACGTGCTCATGCAAACCGACGTGTAAGTTGATCTAAAAGCGGGCGGACCCGGGATGTCGTCTCCGCGGTTCATTTTTTTTGCGTCCCGGGAGGAATATATGCAAATAAATCAGCCTGTGCAATGTTTAGATCCAACCCGAGACGAATTGCGATGGGTGATTTTGCAGTTTTTAAAAGGCAGCGGCTGAAAGGCAGTAGCAGGCAAAATGAGAGGCGCCGGGGAGAACGGAACTGGGAAACAAATGCCAGAAATTTCAAAAAGAAACAGCAAGGCAAATTGTTGCTGGCCTCTCCCAGAACATTTTATTATTATTATTATTTTTTTTGGTGCGCTTGGGACAAGTTGAATCAAACGAAACATTGTTTCAACAGTTCTGCAGTTATTCACTCACTTTATTTGAGATCTGAGCAAATCGTCGCCTAAATTTGTCAAATCTGATGTTAATCTACGGAACCTGATTCGGTTCTTTGAGGATGGCCACGCAGTAGTCAAGAAGAAGAGAAACAATAGTTCTCGAGAGTGACCTGGTTTATCCGTGCAGGAGCAGGTGAAGTGAGGAAGAGAGAGGGGGGGTAGTTAATGTGACAGTCAGAGGCAATCTCGGCCATCAGGACGAGGCGAGGCGAGGCGAGGTGAGCATCGAGACGCTAATGTGGGCCACTGGCGAGCGAGCGGAGCGGCAAGTCGTGTATCACGCAACGTGACGCGTCGGCTGGAAAGCGCAGATAGGTGTTCATTAGTCAAGAAACAAATTCTCTCCAACTTTTTTTTCCCCCCCTCCAACACGCACTGCCTCAATTTAAAAAGTTGGAAGGCGCGGAAAGAGGTTAGAGAGAAAGTCTCCCGAGAGTTGCGCTCGCTTCTGTGGATGCCACCTTTTTCACTTTGACGCCTTCCCTCTTCACACGGTTTATCCATCAGTCTAAGTAGTGTCTGGCTGACATTTCCGAACTGCGTCGTTTTGTATTTCCTCCAAATGTCATCCTCGGTTGAGGTTTTTCTGTGCCATCGGTTGTAATTACATTTGCAGTCGGATTCTGAATGGTACACGCTTCCCCTTGTACTTAGCAGAATTCCATTCGCTGTTGATGCTTGTAGTACAGTGAGCCCCCACAAATGTTTGTAATTCTTTATATTACTCCCTTTTCGGAATTCAGAAGAAAGCTCCGCACACTCAGTTCAGCTCTTTCTTGAATGAACATAACATCATGGAGGTTTTCCAGTCAAGTTTTAAGATGCTACACAGCACACAGTCAGCCCTGTCACGAGTTTTTCCATGACATCCTTCTGGCTAATGACACTGGAGTCGATGTGTGTCCTGTTTTGTTGAATCTGACGTGGACCACAGTATTGCGTTGGCTCATTTACAACCCCAGGTGGGCATGAGTGGTAGCGCTCTCGAGTGGTTTAAATCCTATTTGGCAGACCAAACGTCTTGCGTTACTCTGAGTCCCACTTTGTCGTATGGTGTTCCACAGGGCTCAATTTTGGGGCCCCTGTTCTTTTCATTGCATTTGCTGCTCCTGGGTTCCATCTTCAGAATAATGTTCCCCCCATGTTTCCACCAACGATGATTGCAAAACACTTAAATGGAATTTCAAACTCATCTTACAACACCATGGTTAAAAATGTTACAAGTTTGAGCGATGGTAGCAAGCCATGAGGAAGCAAAGACAGAAGGTTTAGGATCATTTCATACTTAAAGAAGATGTAGTTCAATGTGTGCCCGGGCAGTATGTCTTCAATTGCCCCTGCAAGGTAACACATCCATTTTTAGCTAATTCAGCCAGCAATCAAATCGTTTTTGTTCTAGTTACCCATTTTCAAGATTCTCAATAACCTTGGCTGTGTCCAGAAGCTGCAGTATCATACTTAACTGTCTCCATGTTGCTGCAGTGCCCTCAGTCCACTTAAAAAAAAAAAAAAAGTCTCGTTTCCGATGCCAATGTATACATCATTCTCAACTACATTTTTGTGAGATTGTTCACCAAAGTGTTTTTTTGTTTTTTTTTTAATTGTCTGCACCATACTGAACCGATTGGCCCAAACCAAGACAGAACTGCTCAATGGAAAAGCAGATTCCGGGGTACTTTTCTTTCGGAATAACCTGATTTTCATTCAGACTGCCCTTCAGAAAAGGGAAAGTTGTGGTTAGCAAGTGACAAGAGTTTTCCCCACTTCAAAGTGCTTCATAATCTGGCAGCAAGGATAAAACGTTTCTTGCCAACTGGAAAAAGTGGCTGTTCTGTTTACCCTGCTGTCTCCCTTCCACAGACGATCTCGCTGTTTAGAGTCAACTCTCATGTCATGCGGCTCCCTCATTCAATTTGAAACGCAAACACTCACTGGCCGCAATATTAGGTTTACCTTCCCTAATCTAATTTGATCCAATTCGGGATCCAGATCCAGCTGTGATTATTACTGCGCACTTTTCATGAACAATTCTCAACTGTGACGCAATGCAGAATACCTCTTTGAAAGTGTTGTAAGGAGAACAGGAAGTGTTTTTTGATTTTTGGACAGGTTGCTAATGGCGATAGCAAAAGAGTTGCTTCCCGATATGTTGCCGAGCAAAAGCGAGGCTGGTTTAACTAACTACAAGTACTGTGCAATCAGTGGAATGATTATTTGTACTGATCAGTTTGTTTTTATTCTTTTCTCTTCTGATTGGGGATTGCAGATGTACAAAACCTTCTGGAAATTTTTGAGAGGTGTTGTTTTGTCGCAGAAGCAGCCCAAACCAAACCAGTATTGACTCTTTCCGCGAGGACTGCATTGTCCTGACACTGATTGAATTATCTTCGGATTCGACCAGACGACGCGTCTACCAAACAATAAGTGGGTTAACGTTTCCCAGCGGATCTTTGATGCCTGTCCTGGGCCCTTCGTGAAGTCACCTTGCAGCGATGTCGGTAATCCGACCCTCAAAAGCTCGTCTGAATCAAATTTCCAATCTTTTCAACCGCGACGCTTCACGACAGGGTTCGACCGTCTCGTCGGGTGGGCCCGTCCAAAGCCTCGGGGGCTTCCATTGTGCAACATCCGTCCCGTCAGACAAAAGCGCTGACGTGAGTTTACCAGGAGTAACGTGAGCCCGGTCGGGTATTGCCGTCCGGTGCTGCGCTGCTTTCCTTGCTGGTGTAGTTTACCGAAGAACAAAGTAAGCCGGGCCATAAAGCATCTGGTCACAGGATACGCCCAATTCCCAAGCATGTCGGGCGTCACGCACGCCACAGAGTTGCCCAGCGTTGCTCGGGCGGACGGAAGAGGAGAAACCCGATATGGCAAACTCTACTCTGACACCAGCGCAGACACGGCCACCGGAGTGTGAAAAAGCGTAACTGAGTCGAGAGAGAGTAAGCTGGTGTTCGCTATCGATTAGTATTTGATCCCTGTCAGTCGCTCTTCTCCCGCAGGCACGGCGGTGACCTTCACCCATTGTCTGCTATCGTGCAAGCTTTGTCGCCTGGCGCGAGCGCGATCGCTTATCCTTCACAGAGACGGCGTGGGGGTGGAGGAATTAAAAAAACAAAAAAACAAAGGGAGTCAAAAGGAAGGATTTGGCTTTGGGCAAATGAGGGAAGACAAATGGAGTGACTCAAAAGGTCCATTATGGGTGCAGGGCAGGGAGGAGGGACGCATGTCAAAGACGAAAAGCTGTGAATACATTTCGAGAAGCCTCGCTGAATGGGGCGGCCGGTCTGCTTCAGCAACTTATTGCTCCTGGCCGTGTTCCAGTCCTTCCGTCCACTTTGTGCGTGTCATCAGACGCACTTTGATAACAGTCGTTATCAGAACGCTGCCAAGTGCGCATTAGGCGTCCACGCCAATGTTGTTACTGGGCAGACTCCTCACTCCTCTTGCATAGTGGAGCTAACCGGCAAACTGAGAGCCACCCTGCAGTCCCTTGCTACATATTCTTAAGCAATCTCCAAATTCTTGAACAGTAGCAGAGTGTGGAATCGCATATCTTCTGGATTTTTCAACATTTTTTTTTCTCCAATATTTTGAAGGGTGGCTTTTTGAGGGGTGCGAGTTCATACACATAAGACAGTCGTATGGAGATGCTCACAGTCGCAGTAATATTCAGCATTCTTTGCAGAGGATAAAGAATGTCTGTGAGGATTGTGATATTGTCTGTCAACATACAATTTAGAGTAGAATTGGTCAAAAGGAAACTTGCTTCCCATTGATGAGTCCCTTCTTAGTCTGCGGTAATTTGACGCAAACAAACGTGGCGTTTCATTTGCTGACTTAGCTCACGTCCGCACTGACAGATACGCACAAATGTTTGGCGGGGCCCTTGGGGCCAAAAAGGATGAAAGCCTCGGCTCTGAATTCGTGGAAGGTGGGCGCAGATATTTGACTTGCAAAAGATAAAGAAGGTGGAGATGAGAGATGAGAAATGAGACGCAGTAAAAGAGTCAGTGGCTAAAGTAGCTGTAGTCACGTACGCAGTGCTGGTGGTTGTAAAGAACGAAACAGTTTTTCGATCGTGGAATTACTCTCAGTATGTAAGTGTTGGATGTGTGCCGTTCTGGGCGAGTCAGTGAGAGCAGGAGCTGGGGTTGGGTTGATGGGTTGTAGTTCATTGTGAGAGTCTGGCCATCTTCTTTTTCGCTTTCATTTTGTACATTTGTGTTTGAAACGGTTGAAAAGTGCGACCGTGGCTCTCCTTGCCCACCATGCAAAGGCATCACAGTACCTTAACTGCTCCTTTTTCTCCACTTCATTCTAGTGCTGGTGTAACTGAAGATGGCTCGTTCATGACAGCCCCGCTCTCTGGACTCCAAAAGTTTGAGAACCCCTGGCTTCAGGGGTGAAGACTTTGACCTCAATCGGCCTGCTGTCTTTTCCGTGGAAGTGGTCTCAACCACCCACCCCACCGCCCCTCCACCCTCCAGTGCTGCTCGCCATCTCATCGGTTAGTATGTTTTCTTTGACACTTTCTTCCGCTCTGCCTCTAAGTGTTCAGTCATCTTTTATCGTTGTATTTGCTGGCCGGCCCAGCTGCCGTAATAGAATTGCCAACTGTTTCCACGGTAACCGAGACAGGAAGGCGACAACCGGAATGTTGTTATCCGCTTCCTGACACGCGCGGCGGTCCTTCATTGTGGGCTTTGGTCACGACAGTGATGGACAGCCACGTTTCTATCAACCTCCGGTACATTATAATGTGTGCCGTGCTATATAAGACTGAAGTATGCTATGCTAGGACAGGATATAAACAAGTGAACACGCCCGGGTAAAAGAGGACGTTTGATCACTCTACTATAGTGTGGTTCTATGGTACGGGATATCGTACTAAACTACAGTATACTGTCGAGTACAGTATTCTATGCTGTGGTTTATTATAATGTAGCATGCGTTGCTATAACGTGCTCCGTACAATGCTATGCTCTAGACTGCTATGCTAGCTAAGTTGTACGAAACTGTAGCATCCCAACTATACTATTCTGTAGCATGCCATGTGCTCTGCTACGTGCTACTGTTGTGTTTTACAATACCTAACTATAGTCTACTCTGCTATACTATGCTAAGATGCTCTATGCTATGCTTTACTCCCTTCCACTCCACATTTTTTGTTTGGTTGTATTTCACGATGTTCTCTTTACGTGCTTGCATCTTTGAGTCGAGAAGTCAAACATTAGCTGATGACGCTTTCTTTTGGAGGTTGAGCAGGTGATGCGGTCCGCGTTGACACAAGGGAGCCCTGGTTGGCATTTGTAAGGAGAGCAGGAAGCTTTGCAGCCGGCATTTGCCTAATCACTTCATCTTATCTTTTATCACCCCGGAATGTGGTGGTGCTGCCACGGCAGACGGTCCCCCCACGGTCTGCAGCGTCGGACGCTTTGTCAGAGGCAGCAGAGAGGAGGCTGAGTATCATGAGATTGTTTCCTCACATTCTCATGGTGCTCGCGGGAATTCTTTTTCTTTTTTTCTTTGAGGAAAATATTATTTCCCCCCCCCCCCCAACTCTTCCT